TGCCCACTCTCCATCTGTGTTGTTTTCAGGGTAACCCCAACAGACCTGATGGGAACTGAAGTCACCACAGTAAATGGAAAGACCTGGAAAGGTGGGTGGAGTAGAGATTGGCCAGTTAGCTGATGGAGGCTTGTAGATAATTAGTGAAAACTCATTCACCTGGATTGCCTGCGATGGCATTTGGACCAGATGTTAATACTGTGACAGAGGACAGCTCTTCTCTAACATAAGATGTCATCCCATACTGACTGCAATGGTGATGAGCCATGACAGCATAGCCTGGAACTGAAACTTCCACATCAGTGGTAGAGTGCATCTCCTGAAGCAAGATTACACGTGCTTCGAAGTTTGTATATAGGTGGCGTTTGTAACTTTGCTGTTGCTGTATTTCAATATCGAGGGGATATCATCTTGAGAACCGGCCCTAGCGCTAGGGTTTGCCGTGCTGGCCCTGAAAGGGGCCCCATTGGAAAATGGCTCTTTCAGGCGGATTGTTGCTTAAAATGTGAGCCTGTTCCACATTTTGTTTGCTTTCTTTTCCCTTTGCACTGCTTAGGGTGGATGCCACAAGAAGGTAGCAGACATGCCCTGTTGGGCCCTATTCTGAAAACATTCACTACTGAGTGTGATCTCACTAAATCAATTAGTAGTCCTAGTTAAGTCTTTCGATATGACTTTCTACAGTAGTATCACATCTTGAAGTATTTGCAGAATTAATCCCCTAATTAACTGCAACCAGCACAGGAGGCATAAAATGTTTTTTGTGGGGCACCCCAAGGGGTCTTTAAAAAATTCCAAGCTAAGAACTTTAATAGACATTCTTTTTAAAATTCTACAGCTTTCCTTTTAATAAAGCTTAATTTTAGGTATTTTAGGTTCACACACAACTATTTCACACTGCATGAAGCTGAAATTGTGTTTGCGAGATATAAACCTTGAATAAGTCTTATTAGCATAACAAATTTAACCTAATAAACTTCAAAAGTAATTTTCAGGTCTCATACTTTTATGTCAGCCTCTGGGGGGGAAAATGGCTTAGATGTAAAAAGCATGTATAGAATACACCTTCAGTGATTACTGAAGTCCCCCTCAATACTTTTATTATTAAAATATCACACAGACAGTGGTTTGAACAGCAATTACCACAGTCTTTTCAGCTTTCATGAATTTGGACCTATTCCACGTAAAGCATAGTTAAATTCTGATGCAAAATACTTGCATTAATAGTCAAAAAATTCTAAGTTACATTTGTATGTGCATTTAATTTCTGGTAAAAGCTGAGTAGTATATGTTCCTTTCCCAAAATCTGGGTGCTAGTTTGGGATCAGGTATGGTTAGGGCAGTCGGGGGAAGGACACAGGGATGGGTGACAGCTTTATGATCAAACACTGTAATTGGGCAAGCAAACACGTTCCTCTCGAATACTAGTATGGTTTGGAAGCTTCCATTTTGGAGCCACATCTCAGGACATGTGATGGGTGCAAGATTGTTTAGAACCGCAGAGCGATTGGATAACACAGCAGGATGGTTTACTTAATAGAAACCTCTGCTTTTGAATTCAGTCCCATTGTGATGTTTTATTTCTGCATCATCCCCATTACCATCCTCAGTTTGATATGCAGATCAGCTATAGCTGAAAGGATCTAAATTATAAAATACATATAAATACATGCCTGGGATCTCCATCCCTTTTTCATGACCTTTCTTTCCCTATAGCTCTCTCTGGCTAAACACCATAATACAAAGTAAAAGTAATCACAATCTCTGCAAAACAGTCTGTTTCTACTCAAATTTTTCTTCATTTAGCAACTTAATGATTCAATGTGATTTTACTTCACTCCACACTAAAGTGTTAACAATCAAGTAGAAAATAACCAACCTGATTAGATATAAATACATACTATTAAATAGAAAATTGGGTGCCAACTATATGTATTTTAATATTAGTTCCAGGAACCAATCCCTGTAGCAAACCTCGTTGCCTACTCTGTCCCCATATCTACTCTAGCGACCCAACCACATCAGAGGACCCAACCACATCAGCCACACCATCAGGGGCTCATTCCCCTGCACATCTACTAATGTAATATATGCCATCATGTGCCAGCAATGCCCCTCTGCCATGTATACTGGCCAAACCAGACAGCCCCTACGTAAAAGGACATCAGGAATGGTAACATACAAAAGCCAGTAGGAGAACACTTCAATCTCCCTGGACATTCTACTACAGATTTAAAAGTAGCTATACTTGAACAAAAAAACTTCAGAAACAGACTTCAAAGAGAAACAGCAGAACTAAAATTCATTTGCAAACTTAACACCATTAATTTGGGCTTGAATAGGGACTGGGAGTGGCTGGCTCATTACAGAAGCAGCTTTGCCTCTCCTGGATTGACACGTCCTCATCTATTATTGGGAGTGGACTACATCCACTCTGATCGAATTGGCCCGGTCAAAGCTGGTTCTTCACTTATGAGGTAACTCCCGTCTCTTCATGTGTCATTATATAACGCCTGCATCTATAATTTTCACTCCATGCATCTGAAGAAGTGAGGTTTTTTACCCGTGAAAGCTTATGCCCAAGTAAATCTGTTAGTCTTTAAGGAGCCACCGGACTCCTTGATGATAACATTAAGATATCTAATTTAATGAAATTACTATAGCTTTAGAAAGTTTGATGGATAATATTAGATGAGCTGGTAATGGCAGCCCAACAGTAATTATGAAAGTGAAAGAAGAAGTAGATCAAAGATAGTACTTATCAATAATCGTGAGGGGATTCCAACTTTCTCTTAAGGAGAACAATACATTACATTAAAAAATATATATAATTATTCATTATTTCCACTCTTCCAGGGGTGTGCACAATGATTTAGAGACAATTAAAATGGCACTCTTTTGAGCTGAAAAACTTTACAATAATAGGAAAAGAAAATCAATGGCTCAGTTCAAAGACCAAGATTTTTTCATTTCAGAAACCTGAAAAGAGAAGTATTTTATTTTTGCCCAAGATATATCATCAGTAAGACCTCCAGGAAGATTAACTGTAGAAGGGATTGATTCACTGATGTACTCTTGTTTCCAATACTTAACTCCCCAATATCAGAAATACCACCATTTATACAAAATACAAATTTGATTAAATATTGAACCTCTGCCCTCCACCAAAGTTATCCTTCTCTAACATCTGAGGCTTTAATGACTTCAGCTGGGTTCCACCTTGGCGTACAGGTTCGTATTTACAAGCAATTTACAGAACTCAGATGAGTTAGTATAGAAAATAATCTAGGTATAAGGCTAACATCCCACACGGAAGATGAGAACTAATTAAGTTTTTTAGAACTAAATTATATGATGAAATTTACTCCTGAATGTTATTCCTTTGTACTTACCACAAACACACACACACTTTTCAGATTGTTAATAAGAACAAGAAAAAAAATTCTGATGGAAAAGCAAACACAGGGAACATCACCGGGATCAAATGTAGCCTCTACATACATTTAAGCATGTGGTCTTTTGAATCAGTATTTACACTCATCCTATGAAAACAGGGAATCCTTTAAAATTTAGATTGTTTAATTTTCATTTAAATTTTCAGTCACATTATATTAACAACGTTTTTCCACTGAATTTCTTTAGTTAAAGGGACAGTCAACATGAAATTCTAGACACTTTAAAAAAATCCCCCAATGAGAGGTAGATTCAGACACTTGTTCTCAAATCTTTCTTTGCTGATTTTGTGGGTTTACAGATGTATTTTCCTATTTATTTGAAAAAACTAAAATAATTTTTAAAAAAAGCTTGTTTCCTCTGTCACTGTGTGAGCCCCTCTGCTTCTGAAAAAGCAATGGGAAACTGACTATACAGAAAGTAGTATCAAATGCACAAAGTAAAGAACGGGGTGCTGAATACGCAGTTTTCAAATGCACAACTGATGAACGTTTTTTTCTTTAATTCTTTCAATTTTAGTAACCTTTGATGCTACTTGTAAGAGAAGCAGGTATGAAATTTTTAGAAAAGTATGATTTTATTTTAAGGGGGTTGTGGCTGCAGCCACAGGAATTTGAGATACAGTTTAATGCCACCAGATATGTTAGGGGTCTTTTCAAATGCCATCAGAAAGGAAGGACGATCAGAATCTTAAATTTCTCCTCACTACTTTATGATCTAGGAAGCAGTGGCTCTGAAGTCCTAATGTGGATTGCACATCACTTTCAAAATTTGCACGATCTCTAGGCAGTTTAGGCTGAAAAGTCAAAGTTATTTGCACGGAAGGTGCAATCTAATGATCATCACACGTTGAGAGAAACACAGTGACTAATCCTGCAAACAGCAACTACCTCCTGTCTTTACAAAGGGTTGTACAGGAGCAAAAACACTTGCGGCAGTAAACGTGTGCAGGACCACAGTGACCACACACTTGGCGTTGGCGGGATGAAGGGATTAGGAACGGGTGGCCAGGTGGTAAGATCTGTATTTATTTTAAAGGAGGGAGAATTATGGCCCTGCTCCTGGGCGCGCGCTTGCCTTGGGGGTCTGCCCTGGGACTAACCCCCCTGCGCTAGGAGGGGTCAGTGCTGGGGTAAAGCTTTGCCGCAGCCCTGAAGCAACCGAGGTGCCGCGTTAAAGAGCCGTGCGGGGGAAAGACCCGCACACCGGGCCCGGGAGCGGGCAGGTCTCCGCAGGGGCGAGCCCGGGAGCAGGTTAAACATTAATAGCCGGGACCAGCGAGCTGCCGCCCCCGCAGGGGGTCAGCGGCCCCGCCCGCCCGCCCCACACCCCAGCTGCCCCCTCGCCCGCCGTGTCTCCCCCCCGGCCCCGGCCGCAGGAGCCAAGGGCTCGGCGCCCCTCCAGCCGAGCCCGGCTCCCCCACTCCCCCCGGCCCCGCACCGCACCTGCTGGCCGCCCGTCGGGCTCCGCGGCCCCGGCCGCGAGGCAGAGCGTCAGGGCGAGGAAGAGCCGGGCTCCGGCGGGGACAGCAGCGCCCATGTCCGCGTCCGGCAGCGCCGCCGCCGCCGCCGCTCCGACCCGCTTCCCGGCGCTGCGGGGACGGGCCAGACGGGAAGAGGCGCTCGGCGGCCCGCCCAGGTAACCCGAGCCGGGAAGGGAGCGGCCTCCGCCCGGGCGGGCCCGCCCCCCCCCGCCCCCCTCAGCGCCGCCGCCCCCGGCCCCCTCAGGGCTTCCCCCCCGCCCGGCCACCATGTAGCGGCGCAAGGCTCTGGGCGGCGTGGCTGTGAGCTCCTGGGGCAGCGCAGCTGCAGAACCCGGCCTGACCCGGTCTCTGTGCTGTGCGGTGGCAGCGTGGCCGGGCTCCCGCCGGGCGGTGTGGCTGTAGCGCTGCCAGCCACCGGTGCTCCCGGCAGCGCGGTCAGGGGGCAGGGAGCAGGGGGGGTTGGATGGGGCAGGGGTCCCAAGGGGGCCATCAGGAATGAGAGGAGTGGTTGGATGGGGCACGGAGGTCCGGGGGTGATCAGGGGACAGGGAACGGGAGTGTGTGGATGGGGCAGGGGTCCCAGGGGGGCTGTCAGGGAATGGAGGGGTTGGATGGGGCAGGAGTCCTGGGGGGGGGCAGATAGGAGGTGGGGGCCAGGTCACGACCCCCTCCCCTAACCAGCCCTCCATGCAATTTACGAAACCCAATGCGGCCCTTAGGCCAAATAATTCCCCGCCCTGGCCCTAGAATTTATCTTGTCCACCCACTACTTCAAATTCATGTATTTTCCACCCCCACCTTACTACTCACCTTGTACTACAAACATTTTTCCTCATACTGACCATATGGATAATCTCATTCAGGAATAAACTAGTTAATCCTTATACCGTATGACTTCACACCTGTAGCTGATTCACATTAACTTTCCTGAGAGTTCCTGTATAGGCAAGGTGTTAGGCAGACTTTCTAACTGTCCACAGACACCTATCCTCTGCTTCAGAGTTCAGACCCTATACTACAGCTACAGCCCTGCAGCTGTTGCACCATAGTGTAGATGCTTCTGATATCATTAGGGTGACCAGACAGCAAATGTGAAAAATCGGGACGGGGTGAGGGGTAATAGGAGCCTATATAAGAAAAAGACCCAAAAATCGGGACTGTCCCTATAAAATCGGGACATCTGGTCACCCTAGATATCATCAATGTAGTTATCTACCTTTCAGAGAGATGGTTCCTAGGATGACAGAAGAATTCCATTGACTTAGCCACATCTACACCCTGTGTTAGGTTGGCTTAACTGCAGCACTCAAGGCATGAAATTTTAAAGTATAGAGGTCACAAGCCCCTTGCTGTAAGAGGGCCTGATTCTATTCTTAGGATATGCACCGCCACTACAGCAAAACAGCTACCATCCCGCAGCTGTGCCACCATAGTGCAGGTGCTTCCTATATTGATGGCAGGGGTTTGTCTATCAATGTAGGTAATCCATCTCTCCAAGAGGCAGTAGCTAGGTTGACAGAAGAATCCTTCTGTGGACCTAGGAATGTTCTACACTGGGAGTTAGGTCAACCTAACTGGTGCTCAGGGCACAACATTTTTCACAGCCCTGAGTCATGTAGCTAGGTCAGCCTAACTTTTAGGACTAGCCCAGGCCCTATTTACACCAGTACTGCCTCAGTATAATTCCACTGACTTCAATAGTTATTCCTGATTTACACCTTGAACATACATGAGATTAGAACTAAAGGAGATTGTAAACTCTGTGGGACAAGAACCATTTTTTGTGCTGTGTTTGTACAGTAACTAACATCCCAATGTGCTAGGTGATACCACAATACAAATAATGATAAAAGTCTAGCCCATAGAAAACTTTGGGTAATAATTTTAAACTGCTGATGGACCTAAAAGTGAATTAGCTAAAATTCTCCTTGTTCCTAAACCTGTAAAACTGACATTCTGTAGTAGTCTGACTTGCAAAACTCTTCAGCCAGGGAGTTGAGTAAGTGTTCATTAGCATTCATAGCCATTTTGGGAAAAGGGAAGCTGACCCTTTTCTTCTAGGGTGTGGAATATCCTGTTTTAATATTGCATTTTTCCTGAGTTTTTTTTTTAAATTGTTGTGGGACAAGAAAAGAAGCGGGTCTAGGGAACCTCCCAATCCCTGTAAAATGGTATCCACTACAAGCTAAATAAAAACACTGTAGCTTAATTTACACACACTGGAACATGTGTCAGGCTTTCACTGCTAGGTTTCTGACAGGGCACTGCCTGCTAGCGCAGAGCTTCTGGAACTATGGCATCCTCCCAATCTCCACCCTTACTAAGCACTACACTGTATAGTTTCTCACTTCTGCTTTCTTTTTCCATCCACTCACTCACTGTCAGAGCAGCAACAGCGTCACAGATTACTCCAGTCCTCGACTCGCTGTCCTGCCTCCCAGATCTTTGCTGTATTTATTTTCTCAACCCAGCTCCCAGCATGTTGCATTCCTCTCTGCTCCAACAACATACCAGACTTTCCCACTCTCCCACGTACTGGATGGCAGTCACGTCCCTTCCCGATTTCATTACTCTCTAATCTGAGACTTCAGATTCCTGGGTCTCCTTGGTGTTGACTCCTGTCCTGCCTCTTGTGGTTCCAATTCCTGGAATAAAAGATCCCTTCACTTCCTGTCCCAGCCTCCTTCCTTCTCACTGCTGACAGTCTTCTTGGACATATTTACAAGCTCTGCTGGAGTCAGAGGTGCTTTTGTGGGACTACCATGAAACACTATTCCTGGCAGACTGTTTTGCTTTTCTAGCTCTTCCCCCCTCCTCCCTCAGTTTTGACTCTAATTTCTCTCTCTTGTTTTCTTTCCTCTTGTTGTCTCTTCCCAGGCACACTGACTTTAATTTATCCCATGTTACTGTATTGTCCTCAGTAAAGTTACATTAGCAATGAATTTGGCTCCATATATTCTTTATGTTCTCCTTCCCCCCTGGGCCAAAAAGCCCAACAGGTGTTTCAGACCAAGGTCAATTGCTATATTTCATTTAATTGTACAGTTATCACCGTATGATTAATTTTAAATTCAGCCCGTTCTTGCAGTTTGGAGGATAGAATGTGTATTACATGGGGGGGGGGGGGAACTGCCACCCTCCTTTAAAAGAATACTATTAAGGTTGCAAAGTCAAGCACCCAAAAGGGAGGAAATGTTAAAGAAAGATTGCCTGTGCAGGCTTAATTCAGCTCCCTTGTATATATACACACATTTTGATACAATCTTTAATTAAGTGATCACATACTCTAGCTTCCATAGGATCCTTCCTATAAGTTTGGCAAAGCTATAAGCAACCCAAACCAGGCTTTTATAAGGGTAAGTGTTGAGTACTTTAATAGGTGGTACTACCAGCCCCACCTCTAATGTGTAAATCCCAGCAGGAATGCCAGGCACATCAAAGGCAGCATACATCCTGAAAAGAAGAATTCAGAATATAAAAATATTTTGGATTGGCTTAAATACCCTCATAAAAGTAATAGTTTGGGTTTCTGTAAGACCAAATTCCACCATTCTTACTCATGCTGAGTAGTGCCTTACTGCATGAATAGTTCCACTGAAAACACTTTTTTTTAACATGCATAGCAAAGTTCTACATCAGGGTGAATAAAGGTAACAAAATTGGGCCATGTTGTTTTCCTTAAACAAAACCAGGCAAATTGAACAATTTTGTATGAGCCAAACATTTTACCCATTGATCACCTTTCTAGAGACTCCATCTTGTTCTCTTTACTTGAGGAACTAGGAGTTTTGCACACATGCAAAATTATAGCCTGTGGGTCTTATTCTGGTGCCATGCAATTCAACAGCAAAACTCCAGTGGATTTCAAAGGTGTAGATTCATAGATCAAATCTCTGACTTAAGCAATGCATCGTGTAGTTTTTTTCTGTTGTGGCTTTCAAGTTATGAGCCACGCTTGCTTGCACTGAATTACTCGCTACGACCATACTCCTGTGCTTTGTTGAAGTTTAGGCCAGTAGACCCAATCACTAGCCTGGGACAAACAAGCAATCAGCCATACACAGTTCAGTTTGTAGCTCACCTAATTCCTCACCACACAAACAAAAAGCAACAGTCCTGTTCCTGAGTGAGATTGTGGGACCCTTTAGTAGCTCAAGGGTCTCATCTTCACCCAGCCTAATGGGTTCATAGGGGCTGCTTTAACTTACCTTCTCCAAGCCTTCTGCTACCACAAACATCTTATCAAGGCTCTTAGGGAGCTGTATCCTTCAGCTGGAAATCAGTCCCAATCACTAGATTCTGTACAGCTGAGTTGGCTGATTCTCGGCACTTGCTTGCTGGGCTTCTCTCCAGAACAGGGCTGGCTGAGAGGTCCCTGACCCTTAAGGGTATGTCTACCTTGCAATTTAAAACCGGTGGCTGGCCCATGCCAGCTGACTTGGGCTCATGGGGCTTGAGCTAAGGGGCTGTTTAATTGTGGTGTAGACATTCAGGCCTGGGCTCTAAGACCTTGTGAGGGGGGTTGGGAATTTCTACACCTCAATTAAGCAGCCCCTTAGCCCAAGTCAGCTGGCATGGGCCAGCTATGGTTGTCTACGCACAGTGTAGACATACCCTAAAGGGACAGACTGCCCTGTTACAAAGTTGTAATTCACACAGAATAGATTGCACAATTGAATTCAATGACAAGAATACAGTTTAGGGTGTACAATCTTATAAAATGTAAAACTACCAAAAAAGCTAGTCTCTCTGAGTAAATTATATTTTAAAATATACCAGTTTTACAATTAAGATGTATTCTGGTAGAAAGCAGCTGAATTTGGTTTCTACAATAAGTGACATGTAAGAGAAAATAACACAATAGAAACCAGACATGGAACATGCTAGTAGGAATTAATGGTAAATTCTCAGAATGGAGAGGGGTAACTAGTGGTGTTCCCCAAGGGTCAGTCCTCGGACCAATCCAATTCAACTTATTCATAAATGATCTGGAGAAAGGGGTAAACAGTGAGGTGGCAAAGTTTGCAGATGATACTAAACTGCTCAAGATAGTTAAGACCAAAGATCTCACAAAACTAAGTGATTGGGCAACAAAATGGCAAATGAAATTTAATGTGGATAAATGTAAAGTAATGCACATTGGGAAAAATAACCCCAACTATACATACACTATGATGGGGGCTAATTTAGCTACAACAAGTCAGGAAAGAGATCTTGGAGTCATCATGGATAGTTCTCTGAAGATGTCCATGCAGTGTGCAGAGGCGGTCAAAAAAGCAAACACTACCCTACTGAATCTTCTCCAGGCAAGGAAGGAGGTCAATTTTCTGCCATCATCTCCTTTCTAGGGGAACCATACCGTATTTCCAGTTAATCTGGGCTACTGCCTGGTTTTACTCAGGAGATTCCCTGGTGAGTGTAGGTCTAGTAACACTGTATGGCATGCATGATCCTCTGGAGCTGCCTGAATTAGTGTCAACTACCTCAGCCTGCACCCCCCACTAACTGACTTAGTATTATTTATCATTCATTTGGAGTACCTAGACATTTTGGGGGGGGGGTTGGCATAGTAATCTGGGGTTGTGGGAATTATAGACAAGTACGCATTTGACCTAATTCTGCTTTCACAAGTTTTACAGTGGTGTAGCTATTAACTTTAAAAAACAATATTCTAGTTCTATATTGGCATAAACAAAAGCAGAATCAGGCTCAGTAAGTAAAAGATTCACTGTAGTGCAGCGTGTACCACTAGTTTTTCCTGTCCTCTTTCAATAATCCTTTTAGTGAGCCTTAGTGAAATGTCCTCTCTCTGGGTCACCGGAGGTGTGAGTTTGCTCCCAGTTCCTGTGCTGGATTATGGATTCCAAGGAGGAGGAACCAGGAACAGGTAATGGTCTTGTTGGAAAACTAGATTTTAGAATTCTCTGGCGTTAGCTTTTGTATATTACTAGGTGTCACCACCACATTAGTTAGCAATTTAGCTGAACAGGATATGCTATCCTATCATCACACAGAGAACCAAGGTCATGGAATCATAGACATGTAGGGCGAGAAGGGATCTCATGAGGTCATCTAGTCCAGCCCCCGGCGCTGAGGCAGGACCAAGTAAACCAAGACCAGCCCTGCCAGGTATTTGTTCAACCTGTTCTTAAAAACCTCCAGTGATGGGGATTCCACAACCTCTCTTGGAAGCCTATTCCAGTGTTGAACTACCCTATAGTTAGAAAGTTTCTCCTAGTATCTAACCTAAATCTTCCTTGCTGCAGATTAAACCCATTAAACCCATCCCCTTTATAGCAGCCCTTTACATCCTTGAAGATTGTGCTGAGCTGGCTTCTGCGGAATTAGTTTTCTTACTGGAACTGACATATGTATTTCTGATTAAACAGCCACAGCTCATTTTACACAACACTTTTAATAATGTAGTTATATCAAGCTATGGATGAGCCAGGTTAATCAAGTCTCCAGTGATGCTGGTTGGAATTTACACTCCTTTTAAAATCAAGCTATATCGTCCCTGCTCCCTTCTCCAGCCACTAGGCCAGTAACCCTATCAAAGAAGATAATTAAGTTGGTTTGGCATGATTTGTTTTTCACAAATCTATGTTGGCTAGTCCTCATACCCCTGTTATCCTCTAGTTGCACACAAATTGATTGTTTAATAATTTGTTCCTGGTCCTGCTGAGATTAACTGGGAGTTACACAATATATTACTGAACCGCAAGATCAGATGTCAGGAGGACTTTTATCAAGGAGTAAGTAGCGGCAGCTGTTAAAGAAGATAGACATCCAGGACCACAAATTTCAAACCCAGCATGCTTGACTCTATAAGTTAGCCTTCCAAAGTGGACAAACTGAACATCATGCAGTTTACTGTGTATGGGTACTGTCTACCCCTCGTCCATCACCAACTTTTTCCTCTTCTCTCTTGAGCCTTTTTTATTTTTGGCCAGATAATTATCACCTTCCTCCTCTGAGGTGACTGCATTTCAGTGGTGCCATAACTGGTTAAAAGATAGGAAATAGGATAGAAATAAATGGTCAGTTTTCAGAATGGAGAGAGATAAATAGTGGTGTCCCCCAGGGGTCTGTATTGGGACCAGTCCTATTCAACATATTCATAAATGATCTGGAAAAGGGGGTAAACAGTGAGGTGGCAAAATTTGCAGATGATACAAAACTACTCAAGACCGTTAAGTTACAAACAGACTGTGAAGAGCTACAAAAGGATCTCTCAAAACTGGATGACTGGGCAACAAAATGGCAGATGAAATTCAGATGATAAATGCAAATAATGCACATTGGAAAACATAATCCCAACTATACATATACAATGATGGGGTCTAAATTAGCTGTTACCCCTCAAGAAAGAGATCTTGGAGTCATTGTGGATAGTTCTCTGAAAACATCCACTCAATGTGCAGTGGCAGTCAAAAAAGCAAACTGAATTTTGGGAATCATTAAGAAAGGGATAGATAATAAGACAGAAAATATCATATTGCCTCTTTATAAATCCAAGGTATGCCCACATTTTGAATAATGGTTCAGAAAAGGGCAACAAAAATGATTAGGGTTATGGTACAGCTTCCATATGAGGAGAGATTAATAAGACTGGGACTTTTCAGCTTGGAAAAGAGACGACTAAGGGGGGATATGATAGAGGTCTATAAAATCATGACTGGTGTGGAGAAAGTAAATAAGGAAGTGGTATTTACTCCTCCTCATAACACAAGAACTAGGGGTCACCAAATGAAATTAATAGGCTGCAGATTTAAAACAAACAAAAGGAAGTATTTCTTCACATAACGCAAAGTCAACTTGTGAAATTCTTTGCCAGAGGATGTTGTGAAGGCCAAGACTATAATAGGGTTCAAAAAAGAACTAGATAAGTTCATGGAGGATAGGTCCGTCAATGGCTATTAGCCAGGATGGGCAGGGATTGTGGGCAGGGATTCTGTTTGCCAGAAGCTGGGAATAGACGACAGGGGTTGGATCACTTGATGATTACCTGTTAATTCCCTCTGGGGCACCTGGCGTTGGCCACTGTTGGAAGACAAGTTGCTGGGCTAGATGGACTTTTTGTCTGACTCAGTATGGTGGTTCTTATGATAGGGTTACAGGAGAAGGCCCTTTCTCATGTGGGTTGTTGTCTTACCGAAACCAGTGGGACTATTTGCACATATAAGGGCTACAAGAGATAGGCCCCCAGTTTGCAGTGTGCTTTGGGATTCTTTGAGATGAAAGGTGCTATGTAGATTATAATATACAATAACTCCTCACTTAACGTTGTCCTGGTTAACGTTGTTATGTTGCTGATCAATTAGAGAACACGTTTGTTTAAAGTTGCGCAATGCTCCCTTCTAAAGTCGTCAGCCGCCTGCTTTGTCCACTGCTTGCAGGAAGAGCAGCCCATTGCAGCTAGCTGGTGGAGCTTGGAGGTTTGGAGCCAGGGTGGGCCGGCAGCCCATCAGCTCCCCGCTCCCCTGTGCGGCAGCCGCCCAGCAGGCTATCAATTGCTGGGCAGTTCAGGTGTCCCTCCCACCACTGCCCTGTGCTGCTCCTGTCCTCTGCCTTGGAGCCTCCTGCTTGCTGTGCAGGGGGTGGGGGAAAAGAGGGGTGCTGATGTCAGGATGTCCCCTCCTGCCACTCCTGTACCCCATCTCCACAGAGCAGGGTCAGGACAGGACAGGGCTCAGGACCGAGGGAGCTGCAGCTGCTGTCTCAACTTGCTGATCTACTTAAAATGACAGTGTACTTAGAGTGGGGTCAGCGTACTTAAAGGGGCAATGCGTGTCTCTCTCTCACACACACATGCCCCTCCCCGCCCTTTGGAAAGTGGAGGGAGTGGTGTGCTCAGTGGGATAGCGTTAGGGTGACCAGATGTCCCGATAAAATCGGGACTGTCCCGATATTTAACCCTTTGTCCTGTGTCCCGATCAATGTATGATCAGGACGCCATTTGTCCTGATATTCAGGTAAGGAGGCGAGCGGGAGGGAGGCGCTGACCCCGTGGGTGCTCCGGGGCTGGAGCACCCATAGGGAAAAATTGCAGCCAAGCTCCCCCCTCCTCCCCCCAGCGCACCATGTCCCCACTCCTCCCCCCCTCCAGTGCTTCCTGTCGCCTAACAGCTGTTTGGCGGCGCTTAGCGCTTTCCAGGAGGGAGGGGAGAGGAGCGGGTACACAGCGCGCTCAGGGGAGGAGGCGCAGAAGAGGCAGGGCAGGGGCGGGGACTTGGGGGAGGGGGGTGGAATGGGGGCAGAGCGAGGGCGGTGCAGGGGTGGGAAGAGGTGGGGGGTGGGCAAGCACCCACCCGGCAGAGGGGAAGTCAGCGCCATAGGGGTGAGTGGCAGGTGGGGGGGTGAAGAGGTGAGCGAGCGAGCGGGTGGGGAGGTGAGCGGTGGGTGGGAGGGACGCAGCAAGCCAGTGGCAGGCTGGGGGATGAGGAAGGGCACGGTGGGGTGGCTGAGTGGGGAGGGGCAGGACCTGGGGCAGAGTGGGGGCAGAGCCTGGGAGGAGCAGGGGTGGACTGTGGGTGGGGCTGATGGCACTCCAATGTGTCCCAATATTTTAGTGTGGTGATCTGGTCACCCTAGATAGCGTGGCTTCATCACTGTTCGTTTCCGCAGGGAATGGTTGTAGCCACTACCATGCCTCTGTTGTGTGTCCACCCTCCATTCGTGCTGCCTTGTAGGGTGTGAGGCTACATTAACAACAATGTGTTAACCTTTGAGCGTTCATCATTTAGCAGCAAAAACAACGAGGAGTCCTTGTGGCACCTTAGAGACTAACAAATTTATTTGGGCATAAGCTTTCGTGGGCTAAAACCCACTTCATCAGCTGCAAGGCATTCCCTGGGAAATATCCCACCCTCTGACGCCACCACCTCAACCAAACTTCACAATCATCATCGCTGTGTACAGTATTAAATGGTTTGTTTAAAACTGTGTTTGTGTGTGTCTGGTGAAAAAAATTTCCCTGGAACCTAACCCCCCCATTTTACATTAATTCTTATGGGGAAATTGGATTAACATCGTTTTGCTTACAGTAGCATTTTTCAGGAACATAACTACAACATTAAGCGAGGAGTTACTGTATCTCTGGTTGGACATTAGGAAAAAGTTCCTAACTGTCAGGGTGGTTAAACACTGGAATAAATTGCCTAGGGAGGTTGTGGAATCTCCATCTCTGGAGATATTTAAGAGTAGGTTAGATAAATGCCTATCAGGGATGGTCTAGACAGTATTTGGTCCTGCCATGCGGGCAGGGGACTGGACTCGATGACCTCTCGAGGTCCCTTCCAGTCCTAGAATCTATGAATCTATGAAACTGTGCTGTTTATGCTCAGGAGGCTTCTAGAACATCGCAAACACATCAGAGTATAAATGTTCTCACGTTCACCCTTTTCCATCTGCGTACATGTCCAATAAACATCTCTCCTACACTTCAAGTGGAAATTTAGGAAACTGAGCAATGTATGAGAAGAAATTTTGGATTGCTTGAATCCAGATCAAATAGCTCTTGCTGAAAAGTGTAATTCTGAAGTTAGTTGGCTTGAAAGCATTAGCTTCTAAACTATCCTTAGAAATAGATAGAAGCCAGTGGTATGTTTCAGAGGGAAACATGTTGGTATTTGTTTCATAAGCATAATAATTCTGTTCCATTCAGTCATATAGATACACTCTCAAACAAAAGTGCTGACAGATATGTTATCTTCCTACATCTCCTTTTCCTTATTTATCTGGCTCACAACACAAAACATCAAAACGGCTCCTGATATTGTGAGAAGCTGAGTGCCCTCAATGCCCATTGACAACATTCTACATCCTGCTCATTCTGACCCTAAGTGCATGGTGTGTCTGCAAAATATGGAGGTGGGAACAAAATATTATTTGCCTGCCAACAGTTGAGTGTTTGCATAATTACCTGTTTGTTCCTGCACATGTGTATGTTGCTGGCATAATATATATTGTTGAAAACTCTCTCCAGAACGTCAGCTGGGAACACTAGGGAGTATAAAGTGACCAAGAACAATCACATTGGCATCAGCAATAACTATTAGTGTGGCTATGGCATGTGAGATAGCATCAGTACATACAGCTTGGAAACTTTTTTGCTATATTGCTTTCTGTCCCTGTGTAACCAGAACATGTTTTCAGTACTGCTGGTTGCTTTTATTGGACAGATAAGGCCATTCATTGCAGTCACTGATAAACATCTTTATCTTTTCAAAGCATAATTTGGAACGGGCCCACTATCTGTCCTTAAACATTCTTCAAAGAAAGCTGATGACCAAGATGGTAATGACTATAACTAAATATACTAATCTCTCTTCCTCTTTCTGTGAAACTAAATTTGGATCCTGGCTGGAACACAAGCACGTACAAGCAGAAATATGATCTGTTTGTGAAACAGGAGTATCTATATTTTGCTTACTACTAAAAGTAATGGAACTCTCAGGGCTGGCTCCAGGCATCAGCTTGCCAAGCAGGTGCTTGGGGCGGCCACGCCGGAGAGGGGCGGCACATCCAGTGGACGGTCCCTCACTCCCGCTCGGAGCGAAGGACCTCCCGCCGAATTGCCGCCACAGATCGCGATCACGGGTTTTGTTTGTTTGTTTGTTTTTTTGCGCCGCTTGGGGCAGCAAAAACCCTGGAACCGGCCCTGGGAACTCTCATAATCTCCTTCCCAGGACACTTTATTAATTTTCCACTGTCATCATTCCAGGCTACCTGCCGTACCCCCTTGCAGGCAGACATGGGGTTGCAGGTGAGCCCTTGGTTGATTTTCCCTTCACCCAGGGTATCAACAAGGCCAAACAGACCATAAGGTTAACAGAAAAGCCAACAGAGGACATGAACAAAACTTTCACTTCAACATCTCAGATGGGATACTAGATCATTCCTGGTCTACCCATCCCCACACCTGAGCCCTGTGCTCTCTGTACCCAGGCACTTCCCTCTGGGGATCTCTCGGTTCCAGTCTCTGCACCTGGTGTTAGGCCTCTTACCTCACTGGAGTAAGATCCCTCTCTGAAGTCCGAGGTCCATCCACAGCGACTCTTCTCCAGCGACAGCAGGTGATACTTTCCAGGTCAGACTTCTGGCCACTGTCAAGGGGACTCCTGACTGAGACCAGGTCCCCTTGGATGCTGGCTGACTGAAGTCCTCCATATAGGAGGCTCCCCTCTCTAGGAGCACCTCTTATAGATTCAATATTTTGGTGGGTTCCCCAGAGAGCTCACCCTCTAGGCTCAGTTTCTCCTGGGAGCTCCTCCTTACAAGAGCTTCCTGTCGCCCCTTGGAGAATTCCCTTCTAACTGAGTTTAGGTAACCTTTATTTACTAATCAGCCACCTGGGCCAGTTATGGGAAGACTAGGACCTAGCTCCCCATAAAGGATAGCGACCATACATAGAGTGTGGACTATTTGCTATTTAATAACCACTTTTATTATAGAGATTAGAGGTTTAGCATTGAGGTTTGTCACAAGATGTAAAAAGTCTAGTTAATAAAAGTTATTTCAGTCCAAGAAAATTCCAGTGAAAAACCCATCTTTCTTTAAAATGGATCTTGCACAACATTAGAATTTTCTGAAAGGTGCTAAAGCACTTTAGACTCCCAGACCCACTGTAAGAAGGTCTCTAATTATTTATTTATCTCATACATAACATGTAATAATTCCATCACACATGCTCTCTCAAGGTTTATTCAGCTTCTAGCCCATGAATGATAAAGAGGAAGAGTATATAAACAAAGGATTATAGTATCAGAGATCTTGCTTAGTCATAATGACCGTTCCTCAATCAGACAGTGTAAGAGAGGCAAAAAGCCAGCTCAGGTAAGTCTCCTAGACGCTCAACAAGGATTCCTTTCGATTCACCTGACAGAGTCTCTATTTGTGGACTATGTGGTGTCTGCATTAGGTGTTAATTGTGATATATGCAGGATTCAAACTAAGTAAGTCTACCTATTGTATAATAATGCCTCTTGGTGCATGGGTAGCATATACAGCCTAAATCGCTTTCTAGGAGGCCGGATCGCTAGTGAGCAGGGACGGTTCTAAGGATGGGCGAGCAGGGCTGTGGCCCTGGGTGCCAGCTTCTAGGAAGTGCTGTACCACTGCACTACTCAGCCTTTTAAAAATACATTTTAGGCTTGACTGCTGCAGGATGGGGCAGCGAAAACATTTTCCACCATGGCTGGCAAAACAATTAGGGCCACTCCTGCTCATAAGTGCTCTGAGGGCAGGTTGACTTCCACACCGACCTGCATACCCCATGCCCACGAGAGACTGGGAATATAGCAGCAAATATTGCACAGGGGTAATGTCTATACACTGTACTCCACTTTCTACTTACAAAGCAGTTTTACACTTTATTATATTCCATTTTACAACTTTACAGACTACCATTACAATTTCAACTCATACTTAAGCAATTCAGTACATACTTTGATAAATGCCTTTCAGTGTACTGTATATATGTAACTAAAAAAAGTACAAAACAAGCACAGTGGTGCAATTGTCTGGGCACTTTCAATGTTGCTCAGCAAAATAAGCGAGAACCCTGTTTGAAAGCATGTTAATTTTGGGGGGGGAAAATACTGAATGTATACTAGTCACTCATTTGAATTTTAACATCCTTTGCACAGCTCCAAGTATTCCTGAGAAATATCTGTAAAGTGTCACTTTTACTTGTAAATCTCTTTATATTTCGGCAGTGGATCTAAGTGAACCATAACCTCCGTCACCAGATGTCCCACTGATTGCGCAAAAAACGTGTAAGGAGTCGTGCATCCAGGGAGAATGCATAGTATCTTCTTGGTACATCTAAACAAAAACAAGGTAGTAATTAAGTCACGTTTCAACTCATTATTCACTCATGATATCACTGTTTTAAAAGATACACAAAGCAAAAGTGGCATAGCATTACCCAATTTTGTCTTCAAAGCTGGGTTGCAAAGGCAGCATAACAAAGAAATGAGAAAGAATGGTTATTCAGTAACTACAGTATGATACATATATATTATTAGGTAGATTTCAGAAGAAGAGACTGTTCAGCTTAAAGACAGGCAAGACTCTCTCTAAGGCTAGGTCTACACTACGGGGGGGGTCGACCTAAGATACGGAACTTCAGCTACGTGAATAGCGTAGCTGAAGTTGCGTATTTTAGGTCGACTTACCTGGCTATGAGGACGGCGGCGAGTCGACCGCTGCCGCCGTCGACTCCACTTCTGCCTCTTGCCGCGGTGGATTTCCGGAGTCGACGGAAGAGCCATCGGGGATCGATTTTATCGCGTCTTCACTAGACACGATAAGTCGATCCCCAATAGATCGATTGCTACCCGCCGATTCGGCGGGTAGTGAAGACATGCCCTAAGAATTCCTTACTGCTATACCTGTATATTTTAACAATAGCTCAGAACAAATGTGATTTAGTTGTTCAACCAAAATCAGTATTGTATAGTATGATCTGATGACCTAAACACATGACCTAGAAATCAAACTTCATTATACTGCAGCATTTACTTAAAAATGTACAAAATGAAACAGACACACAGCTCCAGAAACTGATATTTCTCAGTCTGATTTCAGTAGATTTAGCTATATTGCCTTGCAGAGTTCTCTAGTTTAGAAAATAAACCTAAATTCTGTGATGCAAATGTCAGGATGAGCGGTAAATACAAATACAGATAGGAACCCACTTGGTTGTACAACCTGATGGTAGAAAGATTCTGGGTGCTCAGATCCCATTTAAATAGGTGGGAGTTCTGAGCCTTCCCCCCAGAAGCAAATTGACCCTTTGCTGACAATGGATGTCAGTGCGGGGTGGTGAATATAGCATCATTGCAGGCATAGAGATGAAGAGACTGGTTTTGGTACTCTCTTAGAGAGCATGGCTGTAGAGCTGGTCAATAATGGTTTTACTGGCAATTTTGAAAAAAGTCAAAAAAATTGTTTTGGGGTAGAGTGAAAATGAAAATTTTCAGAGAATTCAAAAGTAAAAAATTGTTTAGAGTTGAATAAAATGTTTTGTTTAGATTGTGAGCAATTTTTTGAATTTTAAAAATATAATTAAAGGAAGATTCTGAATGAAAAGTCTGTTTCAAACCAAAAAAATAAAACCCCTTTCCCCCCCCTAAAAAACAATTTGGCAAAATCAACACCAATTCATAAATGTTTGTGTCATCAATCTTGCATTTATTGCCAAAAAAGTCAGGGCACGGTGGGAATTACAACATACTACCTATCTGCTGTACCTTGATTTCAAAGAGCTCCTCCTGGGGTAGGTTACTGGGGGCTTAGTGTACATTCTGTGGGGCACTGGTAAGCCAAAGGAATTACTCTGGATTTACACCGATGGAACTGAGCTCAGAATCTGGCCCATTTTGGGCCATCTAGCACAGCGCTTCTTTCTGTGGTTCCCTGTGTCCTCCAATTGCAGTTCCCCATCTACTTTTGCTTCTACCCTTCTCTTCCCCATCTCTCTCTCTTGCAGCTTCCCATCCCTTCACTATCTTAAGTAACCTGAAAGTGGGCCTCAGGGGGGCATCTAGTGGGTTGCCCTTCTCCCTCCCATATCAAAATAGCATACAATATTTGTTTGTTGGCTGATTTTTTAAAAACATATAGCAACCAATTTTTTTAAAATTTAAATTGGGCCTCTAAACTAACCCAATTTCCTCCTCTGTGTTTAACCAAGGAACTTTGCAGAAGAGTTTCATTATGGTAAAACTGGTAAAGATGTTTTGTTGCTATTAAATGCACAAAAGATTCAAAGCCAACCATTATCTACATGTAATAAGTAAGACAAACATGAAGATCAGTTTTGTCTATATGAAGTCTTGGGCTATTCATTCTATACAATGCAATATGTGGAACCTTCATTAATGAAAACTAATATTCTTAGCTAGCACTTAACCTGAAAACAGCAGATATTGCATTAATACGTTGTCCCATTCATCAAAGAGAACAAGATGGTGGATTTTTAAATGTGTTCAGATAATAGGGAGTATATTAACAATGCATCTCTGTTCTAAGAGCTCCCTACCCGCTGTGATGCTAAGGCGTGGTACTGGCTGATTTGTTTTCAATTTGAATATTGCAGAATTAAAAAACCCTCAAATTCTGGCAGCTGCATGTAAATTCAATAGCTTGGTCAGGCTTACTTGCAAAAAGAGTGGAGTAAGCAGGTGCAACTCCTGTGAACTTTTCTGGGCAAAATTCAGTGGTGAAGTAAACAGGGTTATAATATGTGGAGAAAGCACAGCAGGGGGCAGGTAGCAGAAAAAGCAACTAACTAGAAGATATAAGATAAAGCAGACACCGCTCCCCCCCTTAATACCTTCCTCCTCCCCAACACTCCCAGGGCCAAATTCAGCCCCAGCACAAGAGAGGGGAACTCCCACTGACCTGAACCAACATTACATCCACTTGGTTTGCAAATGCCAAATGGATGCAAGTTATACTTTGCCACTTACATACATTTTCCTATCAATTTACACAACTGTTTGTGTCACCACTGAATTTGATGAAATATTTTTCAGGAGACCTGATGATGTATATGAATATAAAATGGTACAGTTATAATAGAAATGAAGGGAACTGTTTAATCAAACAAAAATCATTATATAGTGTGTGCAGACCCTCCCCCCAGAACAGTGGTTCCCAAACTTTAACAACCTATGAACCCCTTTCACTAAAATGTCAAGTCTCGTGAACCCCCTCCTAAAAATGAATATTTCCAGGGATTTTCTCCTTTATCTGAATATAAATGATAAAAGCAGTGATCTTGGAAATATAAAATGTGTTTTTATGACATGCTTATTACACACTATTTATTAATTATTATTTATCATTACAGTATTTTTATTACATTATGAAAACGGCAACACTCTTCCACATAGGTGTGCGCATGGGGTGTGCCAGGTGTGCCCAGGCACACCCTAATGCAGGGGTGGGCAAATGGCTCCACTGTCCCGGCGCGGCAAGCCGCGGGGTCTGCACTCCCAGCCGAGCGCAGCAAGCCGCCGGACCCTCCCCCGCCTTGCCCCCTCCTCTGGACCCATGCCGCCTCGCGCACAGCGCTCTGGGGGCCGGGGCTGCGTGCTCCCCCGGGGCAGCATTTGGCTTGGTGGTGAGGCAGACATGCTCCCCCCTCCCCTGGAGCTATGCCGCCGCACGCGCAGCACTCTGGGGGCCGAGGCTGCGCACTCCCGCGGGGCAGTGTTTGGCTCCTCGGGGAGGCTAGGAGCCTCATCTCATGGTAAGGGGTCCGGGGTTAGGGGGGTTGGATAAGGGGTTGGGGTAGTCAGGGGACAGGGTGGGTTGGATAGGGGGTGGGATCCGGGGCGGTGGTGATTAGGGGCAGGGGGTCTCTGGAGGGGTCAGTCAGGGAGCAGGGGGGATTGGATGGGGCATGGAAGTCCCGCGGTCTCTCAGGGGGCAGGGGGTGGATAGGGGTCAGGGCAGTCAGGGGACAGGGAGCAAAGAGGGTCCGGAGGGGCAGTTAGTGGGGGGGGTCTCTGGAGGGGGTGGTCAGAGGACAAGGAGCTGGGGGGGTTGGATGAGTCAGGAGTTCTGGGGCGGGCTGTCAGGAGGCAGGGGTGTGGAGAGGGGTTGGGGGAGGCAGGGAGGTTGTATGGGTCAGGAGTTCTGGGGGTCCTGTTGGGGGTGGGGAACGATTGGATAGGCGTGGGAGTCCCGGGGGTCTGTCTAGGGGCAGGATTGTGGATAACGGTCGGGGCAGTCAGGGGACAGGTAGGGGGTAGGGTCCTAAGGGGGCGGTCAGGGGACAAGGAGCAGGGAGGCTTAAGTAGAGGGTGAGGTTCTGGGGGGCAGTTAGGGGCAGGGGTCCCAGGAGGAGGTAGTCGGGGACAAGGAGCAGGGGGGGTTGGAGGTTCTGAGGGGGGAAGTCAGGGGGCGGGAAGTAGGAGGGAGTGGATGGGGGCGGGACTAGGGCAGGGTGGGGCTCCCTGGGTGCACACCCTAATGAAATGGGCTGCGCATGCCTATGCTCTTCCAAGATCTCACGTTCGTAGCTTGTATCACTTTGAATAAGCCTGTTATAAGACAAAGCTCCTATGTTTCATCAAGGAGTATCAGATGTGAAACAGCATGAAGGTATTTAAGAAGCCAACTTAAAGAGTTCCTCCTACACAAGCATTCAGGTCTTGAGCAGTCCAGGCAAACAATGCACATTACAACAAAGCTTAAACTTGTTCTTCATAATAATTTTAAAAACAATACTAGCTGCCTATTTAAATTTTAAAAACAGCAAAAAATATCCACCTCCCTTTCCATTTCTTATAAGGAGTCTTGAAGTTTAAATCTCCTCAGTGTGATAGATATGCTTGCTTTGATCTGCTTAGCTCTTGGAAGTCCAGAGGCTCCGGGCTGCTGGCCCCATGGTGCCTGGGGTCCGTAGGGACAGCTCTGTCCGCCATTAGGGAATTTTTCCCCGAGAACCCCCTGTAACATTTCGTGAACCCCAGTTTGAGAACCACTGCCCCAGACTATTTTAATGTAAAATAATTTTGATTTCACATGTTCATTTAAAATTATACTGTATATAGTATTCTAACCTGTGAGAGATGAAATTATTGTGCATAACATGACTAGGAAATTCTGAGAACATCTTGTTCAATCAGAAGTTACAAACACTTGGAAACACATAGTACAAACACAACTATTCATTTTTAGACACCTGGTACTGTAGCTTTGTTATATTAACTTTCTTTTATAAATTAAAGATATGATCCCAGAGGTAGAGAGATCAGTTTGAAGAGCCAACTGGCCTCTGATTTCATATCATGTTAATGGGGATGGTACAAGTTATTTTTCTGCATCTGTTAACACTATGCTATTATTGATCATAGATTACATCTGTACAACACCTTTCACCCAGAAGATTACCAAAGTGTGGTTACAGTGCATGTATATCTAAGGGTACGTCTATACTACCCGCCAGATCAGCGGGTAGTGTTCGATGTATCAGGGATCGATTTATCGCGTCTTGTCTGGACGTGATGAATCGATGCCCATACTCCACCTTGGCAGGAGGAGTAAGCGGAGTCGACGGGGGAGCCGTGGCAGTTGACTCTCCGCCGTGAGGATGGCCAGGTAAGTCGAACTAAGATACTTCGACTTCACCTACGTGAATAGCGTAGCTAAAGTTGCGTATCTTAGTTTGAACCCTCCCCCCCCCCCCCCCCCCCCGCTAGTGTAGCCCAGGCCTAATGGTATAACACCCACACACCCACTTCATTCCCTCCTGGGTTTTACATGCTGTTTAACACATACATTGCTGTTTAGGCCAGGAAGCAGAAAATATCAGACAAATGAGGGAAGGAATTTATATAGGCAAGATGTAACTAATCAAGTTGCCAGCAAGCCAAGACTTATTACTGTACTCTTGCAAAAACTGCCAGAGTTCTTCATGCCTATACATGGCTAGGATCCTAGTTATTTGCATCTGTGAAGGCTGCACCCTAAAGCACAGTATGCTGCAACGCCACAATGAGGCACAGGCTCAAAACAAACTCAGAGGTTAGAGTTCCATCTACTGAATCACCCACGCTTCCATATTCAGGGGCTTGGGTTTTCATATGCAGTTAAATAATGAAAGAAAAAATTGAGCCTGTTTTCAAGCACAAAGAAAAAATCCCATTTAAGTCCTTGACACACAATATAGCCATGTTTGGGTAGCAGACTGAGAGCATGTGTAATTCCGTGGGCAAATTAATGATAGGAAAGTAAGGGAGGTGTCATTTGATTTGTAAAAGTCTACAGGATCATAATTTCAAAAGTGTCACCCTCTACAGCATGACAGGGAGGACTTGCTATCCTCCACCCCCAGGGCCGGATTAAGGTTATGAGGGGCCTAAGTATGAATTATGAAGTCATCAAACATTCCTCTACATACATATTTACATATTAATTTATGTAAAATTAACAAGTTTATTCTACTCTCACGACACGCAATTCTTCCAGCAGATACTTCTGAGTAAGAGGTAGCACGAGGGATGCTACGCTGTCCTTCTCTTAGGCCTCCTTTCTCCTAGATGGTGGAGTGCTCATCTGTATGAGGATGAACACTGCAACATTCCCCATCCTGCTCACCTCTTTCAGCCTTGTGCTTCTACCCTCAGCTCTCCCCGGCACAGTGCAAAGCCAAGCCCTGCAGGTGTTTCCCCCAAGCTATGGCCTCTACATCATACACCCTATCTCACTCTGACTGCAGCCTGGGAGGCAGCCAGCTTTTATTATGTAAAAGAAAACCACTCGGGTGTAAAATCCACTGAAGTAGAGGAAGTAGCAGTGGGAAAATGACATTGGGTGGCATTGTATTTTAGGCTGTCTTGCTCTGACAGCTGCCTCTCAGTGTTGCACTGGCTGAGGACAATGAATTACTGTTTTCACATTGAACCCAAATATTATTTGTGGGATGATACCCAGTTTACATAGTTAATCTCCAGTGATTCACCACATCAGGCCATTCTGTCACCAAGCTCTTCCACAATTAGAATAATAGATAGAATCATAGGAGTGGAAGGGACCTCGAGAGGTCATCTAGTCCAGTCCCCGGCGCTCATAGCAGGACTAAGTATTATCTATTCTAGAATGTGTGATCAGCAGCTCTGACACGAGGTTTTCTAAGCATGAGTTCTGTGTGCACCAGCCCCCTATGGTTTGCATGTGTTTGTTTTAAGCTTTGTGTAAGAAAAAGATAACAGATGGAAGTGACACAGATCGTTAGATGGCTGCCCAGTCATGATATTTAGCACTTCTGTACTATGTTAGCTCTTCAAAATCACTGTACAAACATTAAACAAACTTAATCTAAAGCCTTTCAGCTTTTGAGTGACTAGGAGTTGACAAAACAGAGCTATTCCCTGTTGTGTTCTCTGCCCCGCTGAACAAAAAGGCTTCATTGAAAATCAGCATCTTAAAAAAACCAGTAAGGATCTTTCAAAAGAACAGTCCAACCAAGGCTGCTGTAGTGACACCCTTGCTACATCAGGTCTGGTGTTTAAGGCTGGTGTAGAATGAAGGGAGAGCTTGCTGTTTCGTTTGCAGGTGTAAATCAAGCAGACCTTGCCTATTTTTTTCGTTAAGTGCTCAGAGTTTAGGGGAGGAAAGTGAATGAGATTCTGCTTATACTGCATGCAAAAAAGCAGAAAGAACCAAAATCTATTCTTGTGCAAAAATCTGTTCTCCCTGATGTCAATAAGGCTACACAGGTGCAACTGTTAGCAGGAATTGGCCTGTGTTCTCATTCCCGTCTCGAATCACATTCCAGGCTCACCCAACATTTTCCAGTTGGGAAAGAAGTTAGTTTGAATTGGAGCAGAAAAATGAGGACTAACTTCAGATTTATTTAGGTTTAAGTTTTTGGAATGAAGCTCAAAAGAAATCAAATGTGAGGTACTTTTATGATGGATTGAACAGCTAGAGAACCAAACAGCAAATGGACAGAACCTGCCTTTGCCTATTCAGCCAGTCTTTCTATCATAGCCTGCTAAGAAGTGGATTTAAAATCCTTGAGGGAGTGGGGAGGAAGAAACCTACAACATTGTATGTTGAGCTTCCTCCAGTGATTTTGCAACCCCTTAAAAGTACAAAGCTGCGTTGGCCTGTGGAACTAGGCTGAGCATAAGGAAAGAACTTGATTGCCTGTGCATCCCAGTACAGAAAAATACACCAAAGAAAAAAATTGGATGTCTTTGATTTTTAGTACAGTTCAATACAGTATTGAACACCGTGCATCATACCTCTGAAGCCCCTCGCTGGAAGGTTCTGTAAAAGTTAAAGTACAGGTATCCAGAATAGGATGTTTTGTTTTGTTTTTCCTACAAATGTGTGGGAGTTCATTCCTTATACATGGGAGGGGCAATAGTTCTGGCTGGAGCTAGATAGAGTGTGTGCAGGTTCTGTGCAAGCTTCCCACCCTACTGCTCTGGTACTGCCTCTTCCCCTTCCCATCCCCATCCCTTTGCCCTGCCCCCCACAGGCACTCACCAGTTGTCCAGAAACGGGACCCAGCATACACAGAAGATGACGGTGATGGGCACTAGGACCCAGGAGGCAGCATCCTGGAGCTGCCTGCCAGCCTCAGCCAAGGAGAGGGTCAGAGGGAGACTCTTCCCTCCCTGACAGCTAAGCAGAGCTCCGGAGAAATTGGGGGTGGGACGAGCTGGGTGCAGCGGGGGGAGGGAGGGGGGAAGGGGACAATGCCTGCTCAAACGACACCCACGGCTGGCACAGGTTCCCGTGGTAACCGGATTTTTGGTGTCCGGTCACCAGTGTTAACTGGATTCCTGGCAGTGTGTTCCTGCAGCGCGGGGTGATGCAGGCTGCCAGCCCAGCTGAGCTCCTTCCAAGCCACAGGGGGCTGCTTTGCCTTTCCTTTGCAAGCTCGCTCCCCCTCACCCGGCCCCAGCTCTGCCCCCTGCCTGACCAGTAGGGCCTAAAAATAGGAGGGCCTAAGGCTATCGCCTTATTAGCTTACTGGGTTAATGCAGCCCTGCCCACCCCCCACTTCCAGCTTGAAGTCCTCTGGTTGGTGGGAATTTTGGTAATACAATGTCATCAGAAGTGGGTCAAGTTGGGTATCATTCCCCTTTCTGCCACCAACACAATGGTACCAAACATGACAAAACTAGAATAATTATCGAGCTGTATATCTGACAAAATGTTTTTTAAAAAAATCAATGCTTTTGTAATTATACTTTACCACAGGCATGGGAAACATGCAACCCTCACAAAGTTACACTGTGGCCCTTGACTGGCAGTACTGTGTTATCAGTTAATGCTCAGAACATGACACCTGAATCATTTTTTTAATGTTACAGATTACTGTAAATGGAAGGAGTGCATCAGGTTGATTTGCCATCATTGGAAAAAAAGAAGCAGGTCAGTGATATTATCAGATTTGCTTATTTTGCCAAAAGAGTTGTAATGAGGCACCGATTAAGACGTCAGAATCCATCTGCAAACAGTATGCATATAGTTATGTAACAATCCCAAAGTAATTTACATTACATACAATCCCAAAGTAATTTATTAGAAAATCCTTGTTTTTACTTTGGTCTCGATCATTTTTAGGTATCAATGGGGAGACAGAGTACCAACGAGGAGCCGAATCTTTGGAGGATAAGACCACTGAGGATCTGGTTACACACAACGCTTGGGGCACCTTACATGCTCTAAGAAATGCACACAAACTGAATATGGCAAGGTTGGAGAGAAAGTACATCAAGCAACAGGAAAATTGATGGGACAAGTGCCAGCTGTGGGCAAGACTTGCCTTATACTAAGTCCCAAGGTCTGTGTTTAGAGAAGAACACCTGTTTCTTCTGTTGTTAGCCCAAAGGCATTCATTATTGTGAGACATGGCATTATGAAGCTACTGTCATGCATGGTTCAGTGAAGTTTCTTCGTAGCACTAACGAAGAGGCTGACGCTAAAATTATCTTGCATGCCATCAATGCCACAAAGAGAAGTGCAACTGAACTCCAAATGTTTGCACAAGACTCAGATGTTCTAGTGCTCTCTGTGCAATTGTGACGGAATGCATGCCATACTCACACCCTACACACTATTGTAATAATCTTTGAACAAAGTATGCCTTGAGAGGTATCATTTGAAAACTCATAACTTGCTGATTAGTAATATCATGGTAAAATGCACGTAGCACCATTAGGTGTAAAGTTATGAACATAAACTGACATCATGACCGAAGTGTGTTTCCCAGATAAGTCTGAGGAGGGGCTAACGCTGTTTCTCTAAAACAAAGGGCAAGCCGATGCCCCAGCCAGATGTCAATAAAGCTGATGGGACATCACATATCAAGTGGCCATTCTTTGGCAAGAAAAGGGGACATGGACAAAGATTTAGCAAAAAACAGCTGGAGGTCTCCTTCCTCCATCAGACCTCCATCTCCTGGTTCTCAGCTGGAAATGTTTTTCAAGGGGAGGACTGAAATTATAAAAAGGAGGAGCAAACACCCCAAGAGACCTCTCTCTCCCCCTGTCCATTTCGCTCTTTGCACCTGAGAAGACAAAAGAAGCAGCTGTTGGCCTCTGGGGAAGGGGCCCTGACTGGAAGAGTTTGGTCAGTAACACTCTTGGAAGCATGTGATGAGAAATTTTGCTTTGAATCTAATATCGTTTGTTAAGCTAGGCACTAGAAAGTGTTATCTTTATTTTTCTAGTAATCATTTTGACTATTATGCCTCATTCCTTGTACTCACTTAAAATCTCTCTCTTTATAGTTAATAAACTTGTTTTACCTAATCCACTGTGTTTATCTTACAGTGTCTGGGTAACTGTTTAAGATAATAAGCTACTGTATATTATTCCCTTAAAGGAATAATGGACTTAATACATTTGAACTGTCCAGGAGAGGGCTGGGCGGCACAGGACATACATTTATGGGGGGAAATCTGCGATTGGGAATATGATGGGGTCACCCTGCAGAAGTAACCCAAGTGTGGCTGGAAGTTTGCAGTTCTACACAGACACACGGGGTGGCTGGCATGCTGGAAGGCTGTGAGCAGCCCAGGTGGGGGCTACAGCAGCAAGACACTGTAAGGCACCTAAGGTTACAGGGCAATGATGAGACATCCCCTCACTGATCTGGACTGCACCGTGGTATGACACAGAGATGCTACCCAAGACTTTCAGAAGATTCTGTTTTTGTGCCTGCTGCTGAGGAGTAGAATCGCAGGGTATCCCTCAGAGACCTGTTCCTATCACTCTGCCAGGTCTCCACGCCCTTTCAGAATGACACTACTGGAGGTTGGCTGGAAAGACCAAATTATCTTACTGGAAGGCTTTTGTTTCAGCCTCCAAAGACTCTGTCCTGGCTCTGGAGGTGCTTGGAAGAGCTGAGACAGTCACTGATGAGGTCATAAGTACGCTGGAGGTGATTACATGCCAAGTTTGCCATTTGAAGACCAACATTACGACACTTGCCAACATTACATTGGTAGACGTTTTCCAAGAGGCAGGCAGACAAAGCAAAACTGCCATTGAGAAGGGGTGCTGTCTAGAGGACAAATTATCAAGCAATGGAATGGCTCTGGGATGATCAAACATATCCAAAACTACCATCCCCTATCAGGCATGAAGAGGTGTTGAAGGATGGACTGATCACACTAGTCATGTGTGAAATACCATGTGCTTCCCAATCAATCCTTCAACTAATAAAATGCTCGTGCGCAAAAACCAGGTGCTCACCACCATGCAAATGTTTAGCCAGCAGCCTTCCTTGTACAGAGAAGTCCAAGTGTGATATGGACGAGAATCAGTGTGACAATGGGTCTAGCAGTGATGCCCTAGATGGAGATGACTTTGATGAATAAATATTTTCAGTCCTACATGTCAAAGATAACTTCCCTAGGATTGCCAGAGATCAATGTCCTTGTTTATGTAAGCAATGCATTCCTGTGTTAGAGTATAATTAAAAAAAACCATTGATTTTCAACATTTTCTCCAATAGGTAGCTATATAATTGTTCTAGGTTTGCCATGTTTGGTACAACTGTGTGCGTGGAAGAAAGGGCTTGCAAATGATACCCAGCTTGACCCATTTCTGAAGACACTGTATTATCAAAATTCCCACCAACTAGAGGACCTGGAGCTGGCCACTGGGGGGAGGGGGGAAAAGGAGGGAGTGAGTCCCTCCACTGAAATGATTCTGTAGAATTTTTCGAGTCAGATGACCCCTCTTTTATTCTTCCTATCACTAAGTTGCCCATGGAATGTGATTTCACTACATTGTGCTCACAGACTAGAGATAATATTTCAGCATAGTTTTTGGAGTCTCTTTAATACATGCCTGTTCATGGATGATGTCGGAAAGCTCTTTCACCATGTCTCTGAAGTTTGATTTTAGTCCTTCATGGTACTCTAATTGGTCCTCCTTAATGAGCTGCTCATTGAGTTCCAGAGCAAGTCCACAGGCCTGTATAAACTTCCTGGGGATGAAAGAAATAGGCCCTGGGCATTATTATTTCTCATTCACATTTGCAGATTGGAGCCAAAAAAACAAACGGATGTGTGCGACTTTGTTTACAAATTCGCCCCGTGGGCAAGCACAAGGCAACATCTAATCCAAAAAGCAACCCACAGGTTCTCTCTTGGGTGGCACTGAACAAAAAAGGATGTTTGTATTCTATTCCCGGCTGTTACTGTTACTCTTGGATTAAGTTCTCTCTTTCACATAACCGCTTCTCCCCTGTCTGAGGCTGTGGTGAAATAACCGTGTGCGTCTGACTTTCAAAGGCTGTGTTATGAAAGGGATAGAGCTGCCGGGACCGCAAGATTGCGCAGCAGGGTTAGGGGTACAAGATGTCTTCCCTCTTTCTTTCGTGGCAAACATAAGCGTCCGGCACTACTTCCCAGGGGTGCCCAGTGCCCCAAAGGGGACAGGAAAGAAGTCCACAGCCTGCTCCCCCTGTGCATTGGTCAGCTGTCTGGGGTGGGAGGCAACTGCACCCAGCAAAGGGGACAGCAGCAGGCGAGCAGGCTGGGTGTGCCTCATTGCTCCTGGAGGAATTCTAGATACCAAAGGCAGACTAGTAGGAAGGAGGAGAGAGGGAAGGACAAAAGTGGGGAAAAAGCTACAATGACCCTAACTGAATGGAGGACGGGAAGTTAGCTATTTAATATATTTAGTTATCTCTTGGGAGGCACAGAGTTGGGCACAATTCTAAGACCACAGAGAGAATGACAGGATAGATTGGTAGGTAGATAGATTGATAGACAGACAGACGCAAGACAAATTCTTGTTTGAAATCAAATATCTTTGCAAAAGTAGCAATGGAAGCGAGAGTAATGGAACCACATGGACAGTAAATGGATTTATTTAAATATTTTAAAGTTCTTTCCAGTTTGACAGTCCCCCTAGAAAAGTCTCTCTTGAAAGATCACGAAATGAAGCATAATTTAAAAAAATTAACAAACACACACACACACAAAGTCTTTGGTTTTTAGCGAGACATTTCCCCTTTTAAAAAACAGTTTTGTCTAGGTGTTGAGACTGGGCACCTGATAGCTCATGAAAGCTCTAGCTTTAAAAACAGAGTCAGCTTTAGTATGCAGCAACTGGTGTATTTATAAATTAATTATGATCATCATTATTATTTTATGTTATTTATTGTAGCCCCAAGTGCCCTAGTCATGAACCAGGATTCCATTGTGCTAGACGCTGTACAAACCCAGAATGAAGAGAGAGTCCCTGCCCCAAAGAGCTTACCATCTAAGACAAGAGACACATGGATGGATACAGGCAGACCGATGATGGGGGAGTATAAAAAACAATGAGACAGTATGGGTCAGCGTGACGGGCAATGGTCTCAGGGTTAGAAGGAGGCAAGATGTTCTGACTAGGATTCGGTAAGCTCATCATGGTCAGGATACTTTTGGGCCAGGAAAGCGGAAACCAGTCTCCTTCCAAAATCAGAAGGACAGTACCAAATCTTTGAATTAGTATTTCAAATCTTAACTCTGATCATTAAAAAGATAAGAAAAACCATATAGCCCATTATGGCCAGCAGGCTAATTCAATGACTTAGTAACCTACCTGAACATTTCTTTTAACTCATTCACCTTCTTAGTGGGATATTTGCTGGACTGATTGTCATTCAGGAAAGCTCTAGCATAGGCCAGCGGACCAGCATTAACCTAAAACCCAAAATGTGAGAACTCATTTATGCTGCAGCTTTTAGGTTAATTTTAGAGGGTAATAAGTTTGTTTTATTAGAAATATTACTTAAGCTATTACTTCATGCCACTAGATGTGCATTTCTATATGGTCATGGGATAGCAATACTATAGTACTGTTTATGTAACAGAACAGAAGGCACCTGTAGTTCAAAATGTTACGCTTTACTTTTGGGAATGGAAAACATTTCTTTACTGATATTCTGAGTCATTTTCAATAAGACATGATGATGATATTGTCTTGATAAGTATATCTTCATACAGAATTAACAATATTAAGCAACATATTGAATCTTGACTACATATTATGATGTTAACAACATTTCCCTTTTTTCCCAAAAATTGTTTAAAGACATTATATTCGATATATTCCTGGTTTGAATCTCTTTAAGAGGGCAGCTCCTAATATAAACCTTTCAGTCCTGTTTAAATTCTATTGCTAATATTTGTTTTATTTCCTTCAGGATGTTTTTCCAATTTTTTATTTATTACCACCAGTCCCATATCATGTGCATGAAAGAGGGCCTGGCCGTCTTGCATTTCATACAGATATCTGGGTCAATATTATGTATTTTATTATATTGACATGGAGAAACATTGACATGGAGAAACACCCTGTAAACTAAAAATTACTGAACTTGCACTACGTTAATAGTAGAGTCAATATCCATTGTCTGCATCATCTCATCCCATTATTTTGCTATTTCACATTTACAGTCTCATGAAATTACACATTCTAGACAATCTTGAATGCTGCTTACTTTATTAAAAATCACTTTCAGAGAAGAAAAGCACCAACAAAGCTATCTGTATTAAAAATTTTACACACGGGTTTGAAGTTTCAGCAATCTAGATACACTAAAAAGAATGCACGCTATGAGTTTATCAGCTACAACGGTTTACTTTAAGGGTTGTGCTAGAATTTACTTTTCT